CGAAGAGTGAGGGGGGATTTGATAGCAGCCTTCAACTTCCTGAAGGGAGGTTCCAAAGAGGATGGAGAGAGGTTGTTCTCAGTAGTGACAGATGGCAGAACAAGGAGCAATGGTCTCAAGTTGTGGTGGGAGAGGTCCCGGTTGGATATTAGGAAAAACTATTTCACTAGGAGAGTGGTGAAGCACTGGAATGGGTTACCTAGGGAAGTGGTGGAGTCTCCATCCCTAGAGGTGTTTAAGTCTCGGCTTGACAAAGCCCTGGCCGGGTTGATTTAGTTGGGATTGGTCCTGCCTAGAGCAGGGGGCTGGACTTGATGCCCTTCTGAGGTCTCTTCCAACTCTATGGTTCTATGAAATCGTGTATAACGGGGCTGGGAAATTGTTTTTGGGTCGGGGGGCATCACAAAAGTGAGAAGAAAAAACACATCTCTGACGTGGCCCCCAGCTGAGAAGCAGAAAGACTCTCCTACAGTCGCCTTGCACCCGGGACCCTGGGGGCCAAGACTGGCTCTGGGGAGGGGCCAAAAGTGTTGCGCTGCCATTTCCCCAGCTGAAGGGTGGGGAAGCGGCAGTGCACAGAGCTGCTTCTGGCCCCAGCTTGCCTGACTCCAGCCCACAAGACCAAGGGCTGTCCCTCCCTACAGTGGGGAGCCGGCACTGGCGCTCCAGCCCCACGAGAAGGATCTCTGGGAGGGAGAGGGACACAGGGCTGGAGTGCCAGGACTGGCTCCTTGATGCTGAGAGCACCAACTCGGGCCAGATCCAGGTAAGCCAGTGGCCAAATCAGACCCTGAGCCATAGTCTCCTCACCCCTGTGGCCCTATTGTTCTACCTGAAGACTAGAAAACGTTTCATTGTCTTCTGCCCAGCAAGGAACGTGCCCAGGCTGTAAGCCCGCAGGTGAGAGCGTGTCTCGGAACCAGGCCCTTGCAGCTTGGAAGGCCGGCTGGAGCAGGGAGCGGGAAATGGGCCCAAGGCAGCTAGCCATTGGGTGAAGTGGTGATTGGAAGGGCTGGGTGAGAGTGGCCGGCAGGCTGTGGTAAATTGCAGGCTGGCAGTGTTCTGCAAAGGTGCCGTGGATGGGCTCTGAGTGGCTGGTCTCCGGGAACATGCCCCTCCGTCTCTACCAACCGTCCTCCTGGCCATTGAAAGGAGAGTGCTAGTGGCTCTAGGATCGGGCTGGCCTCTGAGTGCTGCGCCGCTACCAGGCCAGGTCTCCAGGCTGCCTGAGCCAGGGATGGTCGGCTCGCCGGGGGCTGGCTGCCGGAAGGGTCGAGGCCCCTGAGGCTCCAGGCTGTTGGGTCTCACGGGGGTGAGAGGGGTGAATACCAAGCAGATCTCTCTGCAGTCCCGGCTGGAGAATGATTGTGGGTAACCGCTCTCTCCTCCCAGCGGTTCCTACCTGCTGTGTGAACGTCCAGGCGCTGGCAGAGGATGCTCCTCTGAATAACTTTCCAGGCTGCAGATCAGTGATTTGAAGAACGCTTACCTGGAAAGGGCTTTCTTAGCTGCCTGCCAGGCCTGGCCTACGGAATGTGTAGTCCACGGTCTGAGTGCGGGGGGTGCAGAATAGGGACTTGGACACATGACGCTGGTAACCTGCATTGTTCTTTCATGTCTATTAAGAAATTGGTGGTTCTGCCCTTGAGTAATGGTCCACAAATCCTCTCGGTCAAGGTGCTTGATGCCGACTGTTTGTTGTGTAGGATGCTCACTCGCAAGGAGAGGTGGTGGCCTGCCTGGAGAAAGGGCTGGTGAAGGAGGCAGAGGAGAATGACCCTAGAGTCCAGGTTTCTGAGGGGTGTAAGAAAGCAATTCTTCGTGTGGCCGAACTCTCCTCGGACGACTTCCACTTGGACCGGCACTTGTACTTTGCGTGCCGCGATGACCGGGAGCGCTTCTGTGAGAATGTGAGTAGCATGAAATAGAACTGTTCTCTGCTCTGCCTCACCTCACGGATCAGTGCCTGCAAAGAGCCAAAAGGCAGAGCTGAACCAGAGCAAGAGCTCCTTGCAGCCGAACGTACCCTGGCAGTCAGCCCTCATCCCTTCCATGGGGAACCTACACAAGCACTCACTGTATTAGGCAGCCTTCTACGGTCTGTTCCACCCTCAGTAGCATGCAACTGCAGCTGAGCACTGAGTTTTTGTCAGGCGTCTGTGTGGCTGGAAACACATTTTCCATTTTTATTTTTATCTCTGGATTGAGTGGCATGTTTCTTTGCTGTTCTAAGCCTTGTTAGTATGGCAACATGAACGCTTATGGAAAGTGCACTTGCATCTTTGTGTGGTTTTAGAGTGACCAGGAGGGGAGAATCTCTCTGTTCAGCTCCTGTTTTTGTCATGATAAATTGACGGCCTCTGGACCATCGTGGGCCCTGCTAATACAGCAGTGGCATGAATTCCTGCAGACCCATTGCTTTGTTGTGGTTCTCTTGCATTAGTAGAAAAGATTTTTTTTCTCAGCAAAAAGATGGCAGAACCCAGGAGCCAGAGTAAAAAAAACTCAGATGAATATTTTCCTTTACAAAAACACCTTCAATTCTGTGCTTTGTTTAACAAGTGTTAGTGAGTTACTCCCATAATGCACATGGACACGACTTGCTTAGTTTAAAAGTAGGCTTTTGGTACAATAGCATGATTCTGTTGGATCTAGCAAGAGAATAAGCTGTGAACTATCCTAAATGACCAGTCTTTTGTTTCACAGACTCAAGCTGGGGAAGGCCGGGTTTACAAGTGCCTCTTTAACCACAAATTTGAAGAGTCTATGAGTGAAAAGGTAAGTACGGTATCTACTTCAGCTGGGCAAATCCTTTACAGAATCCCAGGAGGCATCGCGTCCAGCCCCCTGCCCGAAGCAGGACCAACCCCAACTCAATCAACCCAGCCAGGGCTTTGTCAAGCCGGGACTGAAACACCCCTAGGGATGGAGATTCCACTCCCTCCCTAGGGAACCCAGCCCAGTGCTTCCCACCCTCCTAGGGAAATCGTTTGTCCTACTATGCAACCTGAGACCATTGCTCCTTGTTCTCTCATCCGTTACCACTGAGAACAGCCTCTCTGCATCCTCTTTGGAACCCCCCTTTGTGAAGTTGAAGGCTGCTCTCCAATCCCCCTCGGTCTTCTCTTCTGGAGACTGAACAAGCCCAAATCCCTCAGCCTCTCCTCACAGGTCATGTGCTCCAGCCCCCTCAGAATTTTGGTTGCCCTCCGCTGGGACCTCTCCAATGCATCCATGTCCCTTCTGGGGGGGGGGGGGGGGGGCTCTGTCTTGTTCATCCCTCTCCCTGGTGTTACTAGTAACCTACTGGTAAGCTGGCCAGACAGATACGGGTCCTTGAAGAATTTTGAACAGATGCCTTTAAATTGGGGCATTCATGCTTCTGGCTTCCATGCCGATGGACTGGACGGATTGCTCTTGTTTCACTACGGGAGTGCTGCGTTGGCTGGATACATGTATACCGAGGCTCTACAACTGCAGTTCCTCCACTAAGCCATGGGAAACAAGGGCCCAGAAATGCAGGAGCCGGACAAGCCAAAATTCCACTCCTGCTCTTGGGTGGCTCCCATTTCAAACGTTTCGTGGTGGTGCAGCCATTTCTCTTTTCAGTCGCAGGTAAACGGTGTTGCTCTCTTGTGCACACAGAAATGGATTGTTCTGACGTATCTCTTGATACAGACACTGGCTAGTGAACCTCTGTCAGCAGACTGCTCGTTGAGGGCTGTTTTAGCAAAGCAGAGGAAGTGATGCATTGTCTGCGGTAACGACCGTTTCCCCCGACCGTTTCCCTCTTAAACTCCATAGAGAAATGTAAAAGTGTTACAAACTGACTTGGTCTCGTAGAGGTGCCAGGCCAGAGTCCAAAACCTTTTCTCTCTGCACCTGTATTTTCACCTTGCTTAGTGACTTACTCACTTAACGTGCAGGGAACACAGGGTTAATTCTGTCAAGCTGCTGCCATTAGGTAGCTTTCCTGGGGCACTCAGCGCAGGATAGTGCAGGCAAAGCGCCATGAACAGTGAATGTGAGCTGTGGTGGGAGGGAGAGGAGGGATGTTTATTGTAGCTTCAGTGGCTACGTGTTGGAGAGCGAGGAGCCCCTTCAGCTCCCCAATCAGTGTCATGCTGCTTGGGGTACAGAGAGTTGAAGTGTTGGCCATCGGGAGGGATGGAGAGGAGAGGTATCTGGGCAGACCTGCTTGGGGCTTGCTCAAGCGAGTGAGCCAGCCACTGAGATGCATGGAGGCGCAGTGCTCTTTTCATTTTCTTCTGATGTTTTAACTAAGCGCGCGGTTAAAATGAGCAGGCATCGAGACAGTGGGAGTAGCACCTGCTGCTAAGAACAGCTCCAGTGCAGCTTTGCTTCTCGTGAGAATTGTAGACTCCAGTGGCTGCCGTTTCTTGGCACTTTGAGAGGCAGTGGCTTTTCGGTAGGGACTGCAGACATCTGAGCTTATGAGCTCAGCACAGAGAGAGGGAGAGAAACGTTTTCATGCACTTCCAGCATGTGCGTAGGTCCAAAGCAGCAGTGAACTTTTAGGAACTAGAGCCATAAGCATAAGCAGGAGACTTTCTTGAGCCTGTCTTTGGGCCATTCCTTTCATGGCTTCCTTAAGCCAGATTCTCCAGCTTTCCCCTCTAGTGCTGGATTCGGAGTCTGATTGCCTGGTCCGTCCTAGCCAGCAGCCCTGTGTTCTTCAATGCTGCTTCATGTCCATTGCAGTCCGAGCGTGCCGTGTGCACAGCAGCTGGAAGGGTTTCCCAGTTGTATCCGGAGGGCTGGCGTGGCACCCGCAGGAGTCACGCCTTCACGGTGCTCCAGTAGGGCTGCCAGCGATGGCTGGCTGGAACTTCACTTGCTCCTGCTTGCGCTGGCGCCTTTGTCGTGTCCCACTGCAATATGGAATGCCCTTAGCTAGCTTTCTTAGGGAGAACTAACAAGAGCACCACAACTAAGTTTCCAATACAGGGTACCCCCACTCCCATCTCTCCCCAGTACCGGCGCTTGCTCCAGGCCCCAGGGTTCAAATCATGGGAAAACCACCCTGCATGCTCTGGCTTCAAGTGCCTTGGCAAGAGTCCCCAAAAGGACAAACGCCTGGGTCAGCGGAGTCTGTACCCAACACTCAATGCTGCCTCAGTGCATGGTGCCCTGGCACCAAGGAAGGAGGCCAAGAACTCCTGGCACTGACGTGGAGCCGAATATCAGACTCCGGAAAGGGCTGGCCTTTATCCCTGGTACCCCCAGCAGAAAGAGGCAGGAGAGGGGGCACTCTTCCCAGCCTAGCCTAAGAAGCTTGCCTGTTCCTCTTCAGGGCAACGTCTCCTTGGGGCTCCTGACTCGCAAGGGGTTGAGGCAGGCCCAGCGACTCCCATCATCTGGCCAGGACATTCGATGCCCCACTTTTCCAGGGACTTGTGCGGCAACATAGGACCGTACTCTCCCGGCCATGTCACGCTCTCGAAGGAGGGCCAAGGCACCAGAGTTACTCCTGGAAGGAATCGGTGGCTGGGTTAAGGTGGCCATGTCACACCGCTCCCCAGTGCCAGGCACCCACAGGGGAACCGCAGCAGTTTCCCAAGGCTCTGCGCTCATTGGCACCACCCGGTACTACTCCTCAGCCGCCGTCTTTTTCTGAGACCGTGGCATCCTAGGTAAAGTCCTGCCACTCACGTTCAGTAGCAGGTCTGGGTCTAGGGGGCACTACCAGCTCTCTCCCCCCTGTGCCAAGCAGACCTCATGCAGCGCGCCTGCTGTCCCATGGCCAAGAGCAGTCCCTCTGCCTGCGTGGGACAAGGCACAGCTGAGGCCTCACCTGGCTTTTCTCCGGAAGGCCAGAGACGACATGGCCTTGAAAGACAGGTACTTCGATCATGGACAACTCCCACCCCACCTCTTGAATGTGGGATTGGGAGACACCTGACTGGAATGGACATGAGCAGGCACTCGAAGAAGAAAGACAGTCACTCGCCTTCTTGGAGCTGCTCTTCAAGAAGTGTTCGTGTCTGTTTCAATACCCACCTGCCACCGCTGGCGGGTGGGCACAACACTATGTTAAGTGCCATGAAGGTGCGATTCCCGGGGGTTCTAAGGCTGACTCCATTGATGTTGCTAGGGGAAGAACCTTCTGGCTGTCATGTATGGCAGCACATGCGCACCTGGTGGGAACGGGCATGAACAATCCATCGCGAAGACCAGCAGCTACAAGGAGGGAGTGCCCTTTCTTCCTCTTTGGAGCTGACTGTGTTCATCAGCAGCCTCTCCCTCAGCTGGCTTCAGCTTTCCCTTCGGGATCTCTGGGTATCTGCCTGCTGCAAGGGAGGAGGCAGCTGGCACCCCGTTGGCTGGAGGAAAGGATACTCTTGCCCTGCACTCTCTGTAAGGCTTCTGGCCCAGCACCAATGGGCTTAAACTGCAGCAAGGGAGGTTTAGGCTGGACATTTGAAAAACTTCCTGCCTGTCCAGGGTGGTGAAACACTGGGATAAGTTGCCTAGGGGGGTTGTGGAATCTCCATCTCTGGAGACACTGAGGAGCAGGTTGGACAGACACCTGTCGGGGATGGTCTTGCTCAGTGTTTCTCAACCTTTCTTTATAAAGTACCCCTTACATTTTTTTTAAAGTACCCCCCAGGACCTACAGTTTTCAGACACCATTTTTTTAACCATTGCAGCACATTTCTTTAAACAACTTAATTGTAGCCAGGCGGGCGATGAAATTTTTGGGTGTAAAAAGTACAAAAATAATAAAGCGCTGTAAAACTTAAAACAAAATTCAGTTTCCTCCAAATTTCAGTTGTGTTAACGTACGCCCCAGACTTCTCTAGAGTACCCCCAAGGACACTCGTACTACTGGTTCAGAAACACTGATCTAGAAGTGCTTGGTCCTGCCGTGAGGGTAGGGGACTGGACTTGATGCCTCTCGAGGTCCCTGCCAGTTCTGTGATTACTGGGACTACTTCCTTTCCCTCCACATTCCCCTTAGGTCCCCTATTGGACCTTTGAAAGCCTTAAAGGGGGAGTGCCTCAGTAGAGTTGGCTGAGCATTTGCCTTGTGCTGGTAGATCTGTATTACTTGACAGCTCGCCTGTTCTAACCCTTATCTTCCTCAGTGCCGCGATGCTCTCACTACCCGCCAGAAGCTGATTGCCCAGGACTATAAAGTCAGCTATTCGTTGGCCAAGTCCTGCAAAAGTGACCTGAAGAAGTATCGCTGCAATGTGGAGAACCTTCCTCGGTCCCGGGAAGCCCGGCTTTCCTACCTGCTGATGTGCCTCGAGTCTGCAGTGCACAGAGGTGAGAGGGTTAGTCTTGGGCACTGTGATTTACTTGCTTTTTTTGGAAACTTGACTCCAAGAAATCCCAATTTTAGCAGCTTTCACGTAAGCACAGCATTTTGCCAGGGGCCTATCTATTTATTGACTCGAGTGCTGATGGGGTTCAGATGGTGGCAGCAGACCAGTTGCTTACTGACATTTTTGGACGCGTGGCCTCGGCCACAGGCTGGTTTGCAGTTGGGAAGGAAGGTTTGGGACGTAACTTAAGCAGGTTTGAGTGGTTGCAGCCAGGGAAAGGCTAGGTAAGTGCTTCCTTTCCTGGTCGTAGCCCTGCAAACCAGCCTTGTACTTACTGGCAATTTCGAGAGGACTTCAGTTTTCGTTGCTGGATATCAAGAGGCTGCTGCTAAGCAGAATCCACTGTTTTCAAGCTCCAGCTCAAAGACAAATGGAAGTGCCTCCAGATAGCACATCCATCGGTTGGTTGTCTCTTGGGCAGCAGGCCGCTGGCGATAAGCTGAAGTTTGAAGTGTAACTCTTTGTGTGCTTGTGGAAGATCATTGCTTATTGGCGTTCTGACACCCTGCAACGATTCCAGTGTGAAGGCGAATGGGTTCCCTAGGGAGGGGGTGAGACCTCCATCCCTGGAGGTTAAGTCTTGGCTTGACAAAGCCCTGGCTGGGTTGATTTAGTTGGGATTGGTCCTGCCTTGGGCAGGGGGCTGGACTCGATGCCTCCTGAGGGCTCTTCCAGCTTTAGGGTTCTATGATTAATTGGAGGATGGTATCTGAAGTTTGGATTCCTAGTCTATATTTGAAAAATCCTTGATAGTAAAATATCTTAAGTCTACAGAAATTGTTGCTGTGAATCTGAAACCCTAAGTGGTTTTCCTCTTTGTTTGTATAGCAAACATGAACTACTTACTTAGTATATATGAGAAATCTCTAGCTTAATTTATGATCAGCTCACAACATGAATGCCAAAGCTATTCGCTTACTCGTTTGCCTGTTGTAACTTGCCCTTCCTCCTCAGCTAGGCTGTGCAGGTAGATGAATTTTCTGACTCTACATGTGTGTATAGCTCAGCAGAGTGCACTGCATCCTGGTGTTGCACAGTGTTCATTAATGCTCTTTAAATGAGGAAAGCAAAGGTAATGAATGTCAAGGCTGCCCTGAAACCCATCTGTCCCATAGGCACAGCAAACGTGCAGGACCATGTCTCACAAGCTTGGCAAAGCTGCTGTAATACTGTGTACAAGCGGTGCACAATGTTACACATTCTTAATTTGTGATAGAGGTGTTTGCTCTGTTCTGCAGCAGTGTTCTCTTTTGTGGCCCCTGGAGTTGTAGGATGGGATGCTGTAATGCTTGTGGCCCAGAGGGAAGGGGGGGTCCTTTCTCAAACTCTTCACATTTCTGACCTTGAATGAGTAATTACATTTTGAGTGTGTTTTTTAAAGACCTTCTTACTGTAGCGGTAGTGTTTTCTTCTGCTACAGGGCAAGTGTGGGCTGGTTGCTTCCCTGTTTGCCTCAACCCTGCAGGCAGTTGCTGTGGCATGTTTAGCTTCCTCTTGGCTATTGCAACATTTTATGCAATACCTTGCCCAGAGGTGCACACGTTCTAGCTACGAAGGAACGTTGCTTCTCACACCCAGCCGTGTAATTTAAGCACGACTTGGGAATTAGCAACAATTGGAGTTGAGGGATTTCCAGTTTCTGTTTTGGAGTCAACCGGCATAAGGGAATTTGAGGAAGGTTCTTAATTAGCATATCTCTTTACGGCTGAATTTCTGTAATTGCTTATTGGTTAGAAATCCGGCATGTCCTTTCTGTGATGTGCCTGAACTTCATGGCCCTCTAAGATTCTGCTGGCACCCATGAAACCTCTCCTCCAAATAGCACCGATAACTCATCATTTGGCCAGAATAATCTTGCCCAATTATGTAAACAGCACTTAATATGCTACAAGTGGCTTCTGTCTGCAGTAAAACTGATAGCTTAACTGTGCTAAGACCTAGATGATGATCTTGTAGTAGAAGGTAAGAAATCCATTGAGGACTCAGTGACAGTACCAGTGCTGCTCTAGAACGGAACGGGCTCAAACTGGAATATCCATATACAGTTGTTCATAACATAACCACTTTCTAATCCCAGCAGTTACGTTGTTATTGATTCAGAATATTAACTGTGACTGTCAGTAGTAACTGTTCACTGGTCCATCGAGTGGTGTCAGTAACTCTCTCTATTGCCTCGGTGCTACACAGAATGCTGGCTTTTGCATCTGCTTAAGTGTGTGTGATAGGCTTGCTTGCCAATACCCTCCCCCCACGGAAAGACCCCCACAAAGCACTAGCACTAACTCTCATCTCCCTTTCCGTGGTGCAGGTCGGCAGGTGAGCAGTGAGTGCCAGGGGGAAATGCTGGATTACCGGCGCATGCTAATGGAAGACTTCTCCCTCAGCCCTGAAATCATCCTGAGCTGCCGAGGCGAGATTGAACACCATTGCTCTGGGCTGCATCGCAAGGGCCGCACTCTGCACTGCCTGATGAAAGTTGTGCGTGGGGAGAAGGGCAACGTTGGCCTGAACTGCCAGCAGGCGGTAAGGGGAGTCCATCTGTCTGTCAGTCTCCCGCGCTGTGTGCTCTGAGCAGGGGCTGCTGTTACTCTGGTTTGGAGGCTGCTGTGAGGATTCTGATGGACGCGGCCTGGCTTGACTTAGTATCCAGCAGCAGTTGAATGAGTTTGCTTTAAGATCCCAGTGGAATATTTCGTTTCTTTAACTCCATTTAAAAAATTCCAGCTGCTTGTGTAATCTCCAGAGACCGTAGTTCTTTGAGATGACCTGGCCTTTTCCTACACACACCATTGGGAAACTTGAAGAGCCTTTGTATTTCTGGCAAAGGACACAGTTTTACTTTCCACTATGCTGCGTTAGTTCCCAGCTTGAGCAATGGAAATGACGGGTGCTTCTTACTTAAGGTCAGATACGCGCCAGTGTGGCTGAGTTTGGGTTGCAAGAATTTGAGGGAATGCTCACTTTTCTCCAAAAGTTAAGAAAATAGCAATTTTCTCTTTGTCTTTAAGTTTTATAAATATTTTTCTAAACCTAATTTTGGCTCAATTTGACTTGGCAGTAATCCTATAAATTGAACTCATGAATGTTACTTAGTGTCTGTTTTCAAACGTATTAATTCTACTACTTAATTTTAAACTTGCTAATTTCAGTGGTAATGACAATACCATTATTGTAGATAGTATCATGAGGTTTCGTGGGCATAGCCCACTTCTTCAGATGTCCCCACCATCAACCTCAGCCTGGATCAGTCCGCAGAAGAAATCCATTTCCTTGACGCTACAGTACAATTAAATGATGGACAAATTTCCATCACCCTAAACCGTAAACCTACAGACTGCTACACTTAACTTCATGCCTCTAGCTTCCCTCCCAGACTCATTTCTCAATCTATTGTATATAACTAAAGGTACTAAGATACAACCGGATTTGCTCCAGTCCCACAGACAGAGAAACACACCACAGGATTTATATAGAACTTTCTTAAAACTGAAATACTCATCTTGTGAAGTGAAAACAGAGATTGACAGAACCAAAAAAGTACCCAGACATGAAAAAAGCCGGTTATCTGAAGAAGGGGGCTGTGCCTACGAAAGCGCATGATCCCATCTACATGTTTTGTTAGTCTAGAAAGTGCTACCAGACCATTTGTTGTTGTTTTTAGTTTTTCCTGTTAGACTAACTCGGCTACCCCCGAAACTTTTAATACCATTATTGTCATTTGTGTTGGTGACCCTGGAAGGGTGGAAGTCACTGTAGCCCAATACCAATATAAACTCATTGCAAAGTGCCTATGGCCAAATCATTTTCTTCTGTTTATAATATCAAGTCTAGGAGTGGGAGCACTTGGTTACATTTTATTTTAAGTTCTATAAAAGCTTTTCTTAAGTTTATTTTGGACTCTTGAAGTTACCGGACACATCAGCGAAGTGCTTACAGACCTTGAAGCTCATTTTGTACCTGTGGTGCCCAGGAGTGTGCTGCAGAGTTGGTGTGAACAGCAGGGTGTTAGATTCAGTGGCTAATAAGAAATGCGGCGTGCCTCCCCATGGTGCAGTTACTGGGCAGCAGGTCAGAGGGTGGTTTCACTTGAGGAGCAAGTCAGTCCCGCTGCAGGGTTTTTAGTGGTTAAGATCACTTTCTCGTGACAGCGTGGAGGGAAGCACCGTAAGATACTAGGAAAAGGCAAATATCCAGGAAAGAATGTGGGGCTAATCTCTGCTTGTCCCTGGGCTGCCTGTAGGGACTTTCCACCCCTTCTCTGATTCAACCATCGATTTTTGTGTTGCGAGCTGACTCGGGAGCAATGGCTGCCTATAAATCAAGTGGTCTGTGGCCTGTTCTCTGGAGAAAATAAGCAACAGGAAGAAACGAAATGTTAATTATGTGAAATATGGTTAATTTCCCCGTTTTGGTGGACAAGGGTAGAGGGATGGGAGGGTAGATATTTGGTGCAGAAATAACTTCCTAATGGAATTTCATCTTATCAAGTAGTAGCATGTGACACACACCTGGTGCCAGTGTTCCCAGGGAACTACATACACGCTTACGTGTCTGGATTCCTTTATTGCTGCATTATTTCCCCCTATGCGGGATGATATTTTGGTGGTTAGTGGCTGCCTCGAACTCCCATTCGAGTATCTCCCCACACTGAGCTTTCTGCTTTTGCTCTTCTGTGGATGGCGGTTAAAGCACTTCTCTAAAAAGAAAACATTGCCTTGGTCCCTCCTTCTAGATCATATGCTTTGAGTATGAGACACAGGAGTCCTACACTACCGCTTACGTTGATGCAAGTTGTACCACTCGGGGTGTGAAAACCCCTCCCTCTCCCCCAGTGACATACATTCCTTTGACCTAAAGCGTCATCCACATTGTTTTCCCACCACCATTATTCCACCTCAGTGAGAGCGGAAGCTGTCCTGCTAACTAGAGAGCGTGCTCCCATCAGCACGGCACATCTGCATCTGCGCAGCTGGCCTGATGCAGCGCAGTACTGTGGAACTGTCCCTAGCTCTGAGGCAGGGGCACCAGCAGGTGCGTCTCCCGAAGCTCAGGAGTTAATATTTCGGTGCCCTGCAGAATCTCACCTTTCAGTTCCTTAGGACAGTGCCCTGTCCCCGTATGGGCAGAATTGCACACTGAGCGGTGGATCCCTGTGAGGCTGGTTCTTGGTCTGTCAGTGTGGATGTTGAGATGTTTGAGCTCACTCTCAGGGGTGAACGGGTGGCCTCTGCCCTTTCTTCAGGGACTGATAGCTCCAGGTGCTCTGTGCAGTGCCAGCCTGGCCGCTTGTTGCTGTGTTGTGTCTGGTGTATGTCATGCGTGACAGAGCACTAGGGTCTGAGAACAGCGGATGATCCTTAGACATGGAGAGTGGAGTCTTTACAGACTTGCCGGAGCTGCAAACCATTCAGATTTTCAGACCGCGTGGTCACAGTGTACAGGCTGAACCTCTGTGAACCAGGACTCTAGTCCAACAACTGCTGTGGCCCAGCAGGACCAGAGATGTTCCAGGCCCAGAGAGCCCTGGGGAGGGCAGGTATTTAGAAGCCCTGCAGGGATGGGATCCTGGTTCCCTGCAGCTGTGCTGCCCAGCACGCCCTAGTGGCCACTTCACAAATTTCGGAAGTGGCTGCTGGCTGACCCATAAGGGGCGGGGCCTCAGGTGGAAGGGCCGGAGTTGAGAGCTACCCTGCTGGGAGCTTTCCTTGGCCTGGGGTCCCTGTCCCCTACCCCCTGAACAGATGGGGGGTGCCAGGGACTAGCCGCCTCCTGGTGTAGTCTGGGGTGGAGGCTTAGATTCCATAGAACAGCTTGCAGCTCCTGGCCCCGCTGCTAACCTGTGTCCAGCAGCCGCCCCGCAGGCACAAGCCCTTTGAACAGAAGCAGCTGAAAGGGCTTGTGCCTCCAGGCAGCTCCCAGGCAATGGGCCAGTGGAGCTGAGCTGCAAGCTCTTTTGACTGCTTCTGTTTAAAGGGCTTGGCCTGCCGGGTGGCTGCCAGGCAGTGCACCCCCAGCAGGCGAGCCCTTTAAAGAGAAGCAGTTGAACGGGATCACGTGTCTCTAGCAAGGCGCTAGAGGCAGGGGAGCTGCGAGCCCTTTGGGCTGTTTCCACTTACAGGGCTCTCGTGGTCCTGTGGCTGCTAGGCAACGCTTCCTGACAGGCGCGGGGAAGGCGCCAGCCCTTTAAACAGATGCACTAAAAGGGCTCGCAGCTCCCTGCATCTCTAGCGCCTTGCTAGGGTATCAGAGGCACAAGCCCTCTCAGCTCTTTCTATTTAAAGGTCTGGTGCCTTCCCCATGGCTGCTAGGCAAGACTGGGGAAGACAGGAGCCCTTTAAATAGAAACAGCTGGAAGGGCTTGTGCCCCCTCCCCCTCCCAGTCCATGCACTGGGGGCGGGGCCTGAACTGCCCACTAAGAGGCTTTTGCCACTCCTGCCCTAGTGGGACTGCTTGGCATGGCAGGCAGGGGGGGGAGGGGGGACTGGCAGGACCTGCAGCTGGTCCAGGATCGGGCGGGGAGGGCAGATATGACTCCCCGGTCAGGTCTCTAGGGTGCCAGACCAGGGAGGGCCAACCTGCATTACCTACCTGAACAGGGGATAGTCGTCCCTGCTGCGTCAGCTGCGGGAATGATGCAGGCAGATCAGCGTTAGCCTGTCTGCAGTAGGGCTGTCGGCGTGCAGACCACATGATTAACCGATAAGCCTGGGCTTATCCCTTAATCTAGTCGACTACACACACCCCAGGCACGGTGTAGTCAGCTTAAAAGCCGGTCTCCCCCCAGCACCAGCTCCTCTATCAGAGGCAGCAGTGTGGGGTGAGGGGCAGGGGAGGCTGCTGTGAAGCAGCCTGTTCGCGGTGGCCTGGGACATCCCGTGGACAGAGGCTGCTTTGCAGTTGTCTCCTCCGCCCCCTTCCCCACACAGCAGCCTCTGTCTGCGGGGAGCTCGGACCCCCTGTGGATAGGGGCTGCTGCCACCCCATGCTGCTACCTCTGTCAGAGGTTGCGAGGGGGGGGGAGGCAGCTGGTCTGCAGAGGAAGCTGGTTTTTAAACTGGCTCCCATTGCGGATTGGCTCTCACTAATAGAGGCAGCAGCGCGAGGTGGCAGGGGTTCCCTGGGAGTGGGACTGGAGTGGCCCTGGCGGCTGGCCCTGCCCTCCGGGACTATAGAATAGTCGAGTAACCGATAGGAGTTGGTGCGATTGCACGACTATTCACGTACCCGATAGAGAACATCCCTAATCTGCTGTGCACCTTTCCCGGTTTGCCCTCCTCTGCCAGTGACTTGCCTAGAAGAAACATGGCTCATCTTGCATTTGCTCAGACGTGCAGGATCTTGTCTGAGTGTTGCCAGGCTGTGGCCAGCTCCTCACTGATCGGTGTTACAAAGCAAACATCTGCTTCTGTGCAAGCAGGCACGCACGGGGGAAAAGGCTTCCACTGGCCACCCCAGGAATGCGGAGAGCCAGCAGGACGGTCAGGGTGCCGTAGTCGCTCTGGTCTGGGCCCAGCAGGGCTGG